CGTCAGTGAAGAGATGATAGATCACAGAAATCGTGCAGTGCAGGGACTCCCTCCGCCTCAGAGGCAGGTAGGTCGAGGACCCGTAGCACACCTTATCACTCAATAATGGACTCAAGTAGGTCATACGATAGCTCCCACCTCCGGACAGGCACTGGCTTTTGCCACGCTAAATGTAGTCCCGGTGTTGGTGTACGAGAATCTCCCTGGCGAAACAGGGCCATCTGGAAGAACTGATAATAATAAAAAGAAGAAAAAGAAGCGGTCAAACAGGCCATTGGAAGGGGCAAGGTTTTGCACTTTCCACCAACTCTATGGGCATGACACAAGCGAGTGCAGAGACGCTAATCAACGGTCAGATCGAAGCAACCCACATCCCTCTAGGAGGAACGAATATCTTCGTAGATCCGCCTCTCCGAACAAGGAAGGAAGAAGGCCTAGAGAACAATCACTTCAGGGAAGAGAATCAAGGGACCGAGGAGGGTCCAGACAGAGAGATCCAGCCCCATTTTTTGGCGGCCAAACCATCAGGGAGATTGACACGATCATTGGGGGACATCACATCGGTGGCAACACCAGGAACGCCCAAAGGAATTACACAAGGGAAGCAAAGGACCCACCAATGCTTACCTATATTGTCAACAAGTCCCAAGTGGCAAATAGGATGGCCCCAATCACCTTCTCCCAGGAAGATGCAGAAGGAATTTACCACCCCTATTGTGACTCCTTGGTTGTGAGAGCCATAGTGGTAAGAAACGAGCTCAAACGCATGCTCGTCGACAATGGTAGTTCAATGAATATATTATTAGGCTCCACCTTCGACAAAATGCAAATTGAACATGGGTTGATCTCCATGACCGATCCACTATTCGGATTCATTGGAGACAGCATTGTCCCACGAGGGCGGATAACTCTGCCCGTCGAGATGGGTTCAGCTTCTCTAGTGGCCCAATACTTCATGGAATTCTTGGTGGTCGACCACAGATCGGCCTACCATGGAGTATTGGGAAGACCCGCCTTGAAAGATCTTTGGCTGTCACCTCCATCCACTACCTGTGTATGAAATTTCCAACTGAACATGGGATTGCCATGATACGAGGCGACCAGATGGGCTCCAAGGCGTGTTACTTAAACTCTCTGGGAAAATTGGAGCCCCAAACTGTTAACGTGATCATAACTGAAATTGCCAATGAACCCAATTTGGACGTGGAAATGATCGACGTCCCTGAACAAAGACATACCTCCGAACGAGAGGAAGACGTCTACATGGAAGAGGCCCTTGAAGATGGGCACCTTCTTGATGAATTAGACCC